ATGGAATGTCTAAAGGCCCGTTTACATTTGCAATTTTTGCTGCGATTTCTAGTGCAATTGTCTTCTTGTGATAGATGTTAATGAACGAATAAAAAAGGTTATGAATGCTCTGAGTATGTGTACCCTAATATAAACATTCCTGACTCATCAACTCGATCGTTCACATGCGTCAGGAGAAGAAAATCACAATTCAAATACCAATTCAAACATTGGTCAAAGTTGGTCAAAATGGAACTGATATTTGCCAAAAGTTGGTCAAAATGGAATTGATATTTGTTTAAAATTGAAGAAGTGAAACTCCAAAAATCGATAACATTTTTATTTATCTACGTTTCGACTATATTTCAGTCATCATCAGGATAAACTAGCTATAGGTTATATATCAAAAGCGGCATTTATATGAAGAAATATGATACAATAATTAGGTTGATTATTAATGAATTAATTAAATATGATTAGTTTTTTAGAAGCTTAAGTCCATGATCAAGTTCAGGTTTATATCTTTGAATAGCGAGGGATTCTTGATTATTATAGTAAAAGGGACCAATGGTTAGATTTATCAATTATTTTATTGTTGTTGAAAACATGCAATGAAAAAATACGCAATTTTAAGACCTGACAAAGGAAACGGAATTGTACTAATCACAAAAGATGACTACAAATCATGTATGACTGATCTTTTTTCCGACACTACTAAATTTAAAAAAGTAACTCAGGACACAACACTAACCCAACTAACAACTCTTCAAAACTATCTCGTACTATCTATAATCGCAACGAAATCACACAGGTTGAATATGAAAGTATGAGATCGACTTCAACTAAACCAGCAAGAGCTCACGGGTTACCGAAAATACATAAAACGTTTGATACACTTCCTCCCTTTCGACCTATAATTGATACACCCGGCACTGCTTACCAACCAACTGCTAAGTTTATTACACAATTACTAAATCCTTTGACAAGTAATGAATTTACAATACGAGATATAGCTTTGATACGGTACATGAGATTAATAATATTCCTCCTAACCTATTTAATGACGGATACAAGTTTGTTTCTTTTGACGTAAAATCCCTATTTACTAATATCCCACTCCACAAAACTGTTAACATAATATTAAAACGCATCTATGATGATAAGCTAATATCGACGAAGTTAACTGAACGAACACTAAAGAAACTAATACTAGACTCATGTACCAAAACAATCTTTTCACTTAACGGACATCTTTATAAACAAATCGACGGGGTTTCTATGGGTTCACCCTTAGGTCCGACATTAGCTAACATAATCATGACGGAATTTGAACAAGAAATTGTTAAACCTCTCATTAATTCAGGACTAATAAGATTTTACAAACGTTGTGTTGATGACACCCTTATTCTTATGAAACCATCTGACGTACAATTAATTCTTACTAAGTTTAACTCTTTCCATCCTAACTTACAATTCAGCGTTGACGAATTTAGCGACAATGACATCCATTTTCTTGACATCCACATCCACCCCTCTGGAACTTCTGTCTATAGAAAGCCCACTCATACTGGTCAATACTCCCATATATCAAGCTTCACTCCCTGGTCAAGAAAAATTGCTTGGATCCGTGCTCTTGTAAATCGCGCCTACAAAATCTGCAGTAATGCCACTCTCCTAAACAACGAATTAAAACAAATCCAAAATCTCATGTCTTGGAACGGTTTCCCTCGCAAATTAACCCAAAAACTTATTAACCAATTTAAACCATCACCACCAATATCTAATGACAACGACAACGAAGCCACAATGACTGAATCAAACAAAACTCCTAACATCTGGTTACAGCTACCCTATCTTGGCAAATTTTGGTGAAATACTAACTCGTTCGTTGATACGCAAAATAACCCCTCTCCTCATATTAAAATGCCGATCCATTATTAACTGGAAAACCATTAACAGCAACGTATTTGTGTCATGCAAAGATAAAACCCCGAAAACTTATCAAAGCTCTGTTGTTTATGAATTTACTTGCCCTGGATGTAATAGTAGGTACATCGGCAAAACTGATCGCTGCTTATACACCAGAACTAAGGAACATTCATATCACGCAGAATCTGTAATCCATCAACACCTCTCTACTTGAGAACAATTTCAACATATTAAAGCCCTTTTAGAACTTTATCCTGACGATGACGCAAAGTCTGATCAAACCGGTATAATGCATGGCTGAACATGTTTTCAACAACACTAAAATAATTGATAAATCTAACCATTGGTCCCTTTTACTATATCAAGAATCCCTCGCTATTCAAAGATATAAACCTGAACTTAATCATGGACTTAAAGCTTCTAAAGAACTAATCATGTTTAATTAATTCATTAATAATCAACCTAATTATTGTATCATATTTTTCATATAAATGCCGCTTTTGATATATAACCTAGCTAGTTTATCCTGATGATGACTGAAATATAGTCGAAACGTAGATAAATAAAAATGTTTTCGATTTTTGGAGTTTCACTTGTTTTGTATTTTATTAAAATACTCAGTGGTCCTAAAAATTTTCAGTAATGCTACCCTATAGTAATTTATGAATTTGATGCACCCGAAATGTCATGTGACGTACCTTTCCAACATGGGAATCCCGAAACATCGAGTTGGATTCGAGTTAGAGTTAAACTTCGAGTTACTTGTACACTGGCGTTTCCGAATGTTCTGCAGGTAATGTCCGAACAACTCCGATTCATGTTTACTTCTTCGCAACTTCAAACACGTGTTATTACGTTTTTATAAAAGTATGCCGTATGGAGAATGAAACACAGCAATGTAACTTTACTTTATTATAAATCGTTTTTATAATGCACTTTGTTGTACATCTTGTACAGTAATTTATACTATGTGTATTTTGGAAAAGAATATATTAAAATTTGTACACTTAAAGTTAAGTATTGTTTCGTTCAAAATATATATTCGAAACTATCAGTACTATTCTGCATATCCTCACACGTCGTGTTAGGGATTATCCTTAATTTTTTAAAGATTAAAGATATGCCTTATATTAAGTTGAACTCTAACCCCCACCCAACCCCCACTCTAACCTCTAACCCTAACCCTGGTTTAATCTTAATTAATCGGGCTCTAATCTACCTTTTTTAATATTCTCGCCCCTGCCCGCCCAGCCTCCCTAATACTACGTGTGAGGATATGTTGCATTATTAGTCTTGAAAGGTCAAGGAGAGTACTATATAGAGGATGTTAAGACGGCGGTGTAGTACTACAATACTTCATGTGAACTCGTCATATGCGCATTGCTGGGTTTTTTTACAAAGAGACGCCTGGGTACGGAGACAGGGTATAGTATGCGATAGCAGACTGATCAGCACTGCCTCATTCTCGTATCCAGAGCCCTTCTTACGCGCGGTACGACGAGGGGCTCTGGCCAAATCTATAACCGGATATCATAAAAACATGGTAATAGAATATATCCGGTATTAGAACAATAACTTTCGTTGTAGCCAATCAGATGTCAGTTTGATATGGATTTGGCCAGAGCCCCACGTCGCGCTCCGTTGACCGCGCGTAAGAAGGGCTCTGGGTACGAGAATGGTACTGCCTCTGAGATTAGTCTGCTGTTTTTCCGCAGCTCCAGTGGGTGAGGGGGGGGGGGGGCTG